GATAGATAATTAACTACAAACAAGTAAACTTAGTGTGCGCTCAGTGCGCACTAGCGCGATCAACCTAATTCGCTATTAGTTGGAGAAAGAAATGGAGGTCGCACGGTCCACAAGTCCAATTCCTTCAACGAATCATCTGACTCTTACTACTCCCTTTTGCATTCGTAACATAGGCTTGTTTTCTGTTCCTACACTAGTGAACTAGTGCAATAAATTGGAGTAAGACAAGCATATTTTTTCTCATTCTAGCTTACTGCACTAGTTCACCAGTGCAGGAACAGAAAACAAACCCCATGTCACAAATATTGTAGCGACACTTCTCCGATTTACCTTAATACCTGCTCATTTTGAATGTTCTCAGCTCGATCGCCGAAATCCGCCGAGAATTTCGTGCGCGGGGCGTTCCGCGTACGCGTTTACGTCACTGAACGCTCCCACTCGTCGGCTCGTCGCGCATGCACGAGAAATCAAGCTATTCGGGAACCTCGCCGAACGTCGCCGCAACATATAAACAAAGACCACTGGTAAGATTACGCTTGAAATTGTAATGTTCCAAATTGAATTCTGTATCGCGCGTTGCAGGAACTGACGATCTCCTCCGATCTCTGTCGAATGTCTGAGGTTAAGGCGCGAAAGCGCGCGCGAAACGTTCACCGTGCCATTGCGCGTCCGCGCTTGCTAGGTTAACGTGAGCCCAGCGTGGTTCACGAAGAAAGAGGGAAAACGGGACCGGCTCTCTTTGCATCCTGTAGATATGAATTACGTGCTGCGACGACTGCACCAGAATGATAGCTCACCTATCGGCCTCAACAAGTGCGCACAATCTGTAAGTAACAACTTATTCAGTAAGCTCAAGGTAGTGGCTGTCTTCAATTAACTTGTTGATTGTATCGTGCTTCCTTTACACGGATGGAATTATTAATCTCTTGTTCACGCGCAAAGTGAAATTACGAATCAGGAACGATCGCGTGGTTGGAAGTCTTGTAAGTGATACGTTGACTTGATTACCAGACGTTTTATCCGAACTTCGGTTCCAGTCGAACTAAGTCCCTTATCTAAAAGACCGAGCCTATCTAAAACTGAGGCTGATGCACCAGATAAAAGGTTTTCTGCAGGACTAAAGGCTGGTCTATGTGGAGTAAAAGAGAACCGCAACCTTTAGTTTTTGGTGTAAGAAAGCTAAAATACAGGCATAATTTGTAAAATATTTGTAAAGGTCTATCCAGACAAACTTGCATAGCGCATAAACATATGCATAAGAAATTTTATGCATATGCTTATGCATAAAAAAATTGCTCTGTGCAAGATTGTCTGGATAGACCTTTACAAATATTTTAAAACCCTTACATTGGCCGATGGCGTTCTGATTCGCCGAGAGTAAGCATAAGAGCTGAAATAGGAGTAAGAAGGCTCATCGAAATAATTGTGAAAAGATGATCTCGTGTGGGTATCATAGGATACTTTTTTTTAGTTAACTTTGTTTAGTTAAACCTCATCCAATTTCTTTTGTGAAACTGTTCTATTAAAAAGTAGATGTTTTATTTATAAAAAAAACGCTTATAGACTGGAAGTAATTGATTCCGAAGGAAATTTTTCCCTTCTGTATAAATTATTGCATATTCTGAGAAAATGAAGATACATTACGATATTGCAGCATAAAGTAATGTACATATAAATAACATATAAAAAACATAAAAAACAGTGAAATAATATAAAGGGATTAAGGAAATTGATTCCGAACATGTTACATAGAGCAACATATTACATTGGTAATTTAATTATTTCCTACATATTATATTTCTTGGATTGTTAAGATGGACACAACTCCTTAATTACAAATATATGTACATTTTATGTGTGTGTGTGTGTGTATTCGTCTGTGTCTGTGTATGTTATGTTTAAATTCTTTTTTTTCAGTATACCTGTGGTCGGGCCAAAGACAATGATATTATATGCCTTAGTCCAGTTGTATCTCGTCACCATTGTATTTTTTATCGAGAAAATGAAAATTTATACGTTACAGACTTACGGGTGTGTATAACAGGTAGTCGTAACAATACCAATATATATTTGTAAGTTGAATGATTTATTAATTCCTCATTTTTATTTAGAGTTCGAATGGTATCTTCGTAAACGGCGACCAACAACAGACTTCTCAGACGATCAAATTATATGAGAATGATATCATTGGAATAGGTTGCCCAACTAATGATGATCCAAATAGTAATGTGTATATTTATAAAGTTTGCATTGAGGTAAGTCGTTCTTAGCAGTATCTAATAGTTTTTGTAGAAATTCAATATATGTCTCTAAATTAGCCATAAAAAAATGTTGTAGTTACTCGACCATGATGAAGAGAAAGAAAGACTTAGTACTACCTCATCAAAGGCAGTTGTAAATAATACATTGCAAGAGAGCGTATCTCCTGTATCTTCTACAGATCATGATTTCAGGAAAAGATGCGTATCTAAGTTAAATTGTGACTGTCCAAATAAAAAAGTAAAACTTACGTGTCATAACAAACATGATTCTACTGTTAATTCTTCAAAAGGTAAGCTCTATTTTGTATACAGACGAGAGAAAGGGAATATTAAATTTGCACTATTCCCTGATAAATCTTATCTTATAATTAATTAAATTTTTGCAGGGATCAATTCTAATTTATCTCGTGATAATCAGAAACCACATTGTAGTAACTATACCAATAATTTAGTAAACAATGAATTTGATAATATGAATACAAGTTCAGACGACGATATTGAAATAATTCATGCATCACTAGCACACGAAATAAAGCAAAAGGAGCACACTAAGAATCATAATCTTCAATCTGTAAAGTCTTCAGATGGCAATAATAAATTATATATTAATGAAAGAATGGGTGTTTCTGGTAGTGATAAGAGTGATAACTATGTTAATAATAAAATCATTAAAAAAACATCGCATAGCACTGACAAACAAGATAAAACATTATACCACAGAAAATCTAATTGTGACAACAATATTGATGATAATAGAGTCACAGGTGAAAATCATATAAGAAAAACATCGAAGAGCACTGATAAACAAAATGATGTGTTATACCACACAAAAAAATCTCAATGTGCACATACAGATGACCAAATTGTTGAAGATTTAAATGAATTGCAAACAGACGACGAAGAAGCACAAATGATAAATGTTGAGCGCAATACCCACGATAAATCACCGATTAAATTAAAGAAAGTAAAACATGAGCAGAAAACACGATTCTCTCTTATCGATGTTGTTGATCTGAGTGACGACGAAGAAGGGGTGTTTCCATACTCCCAGTTATTCGATATCAAATATGAAGATACAGAGAATACAGAGAATAGAATGGAAATTAAGCAGGAATGTACTGATGACAATCATCTAAATACTGAAAAAATTGGCTTTTTAAATATGGACGACGAGATCATTATTTTAACAGACAGTGAAGATGAAGATAATCCATGGTTGGAGCGATTATCCAGAAGTCAACGACTTACCGAGGATGGAAAATATGTTCCGGGTGAGGTGCACGTAAAGGATGAAATCGATTTAGGAATTTGGGATTATGAAGACCTGAATATAATCGAACAGTCCGAGATACCGAGTACTTCACAGGCACATTACAGTAAAGAGATACCTTACAAACTATGTGCAGGTGTTAATGTTAAAACTAAAAACAAAAGAGATGATAATTTACGGATAACAGAAGTGAAGACAATGGGCATAGACAAAAACGATCATTCTAACACGTCTTGTACGAAAGACAAAAGCAAACAGATTGTTGATACCAATTGGTCAACGACAGAAGTAAACGCAATGGAGATAGACGAAGCCGGTCCTTCTAACGAGCCTCGTACGAAAACTATTAATGAAAAGAAACACATCTTTGATATTAACATTAATATAAGTTTATCGCCGGCAAAAGCGAATATTACGGATGTAAACGTAGCCGGTCTTTCTAACGAGCCTCGTACGAAAGCTATTGATGAAAACAAACACATCGTTGATACTAACATTAACAAAAGTTCATCGACAGTAGAAGCGAACACTAAGGATGTAGACGAAGTCGGTCTTACTCCGTTAGAAAGCGAGCCTCATACGAAAGATATTCATGAGAGCAAACGGATTGTTGGTACTAATATTGATGATAAAGACAAACAGAAAACGTATGCAAAACAAAATACAAAGCTAGATAAACAATCATTAGAAAGTTTGAAACAAAAATTAATGGCAAAATCAACACATAAAAAACTGATTCCAGTAATAGAACCATTAAGTTTACCTTCGAGAAGAAGACGAACCGATCAAAGTAAAGACAGAATATGTAAGAAAACTGAGAAAACAGAAGTACACGAGACTTCACAGTCAACAAACGAAAACAAGACGTCGAACTTGAAAGAAAAACTAGCCGATAATTTCTATAATAAGAAACAGAAACATCATAAGAAGAGATCTAAATCAGCTGATTCGCACAGGTCAAATGAACCAAAATTTGGGCCATTAATTTCTAAGGACGAAAAAAGAAAAATACACGAAGACAGAAAAAAGAAATTGAAGAAGATTGCTGAGGAAAAGAAGAAGCTAGTAGCCGAAAGTGAACCAAGTATTAATCGTAGGATTGCTAAACCAAGAGCTAAAATATCCTTGAAAAATCGTGGCGATTTTCTCACTGAACAAGAACCGCAAGTATTTAAATCGCGTCCAAATAAATCCGCAACGTTGCCAATATTGAGTAATAATCAATTTAAAAAACAATCGACGGGCGAGGTTGATGTGATAAAACCTGCGACTTCCAACGAAACACAGATCTTTTCTAAGGATACAGTAAGCGATATTACTGCATCATTGCAACAATCCTTACATTTAAATATGAGTACTGCATCTGAGGATAACACACTAGGTTCCAAAGTCGCTGATGATAAAAAGAAACACAGTGGTAGCAGCAGCAGCAAGAGTGACATGAGAAGCAACGTGAATGCTGATCCCACTACATCTAAGGCTAACACACTGGATTACAGAACAATTGATAATAAAAAAAGACATAGCAGTAGCAACAAGGACGACACGAGAAGAAGCACCGTGAATGCTGATCCGAAGGTCAAAATATTAAAATTGCAAAGTAGATCGGTCAAATGTGGTTCAGAAAAGGAAAATATCTCGAGTGGTTTGAAATCGTACACGATACCGAAAAAGAAGAGAGTGTCCTTTTCTGATAAACACGAAGTAAAGGTGTACGAGATCGATAGTTGCAATTCTTTAAAGAAATTGAGTGGGAAAGATGCACCAATACCCCAGAACAAATTAACAAAAGCACCTGCAATCTATTCAGATCGGAGCCCGAAACTGGAGGAGTTTCTACTGCGCATTTTTATGTGGAATCCCGTGTGGCTAGAAGAGCAGCGCTACTTGAAGTGCGAACCACCAATAGTGTCTGAGAATGAACTCAAAACTTTGAGATCATCTTACGATTCCTATAAACAATATTACGAGATCATAATGCCTCTCCTGTTAGTTGAAATGTGGTGCGTCATGACTAAAGATTTCGAGATGATCCAGAAAAATAAGCAACGCCCAACCATGATGTGTTCCATAATCGAGAATTCTATTACACGTACCCCGATACCGTCGACTAATTTATTCTTGACAACACTGGTGCTTCAAGTATTAGTCAGCAAGGACGACATAAATAAGCAAACTCATTCCATTTATGGAGATTTAGTATATCTTGAGTATGTTATGAACAAACATGATAAGCAAATCTTTCATAAGATATTCGGATACATAACCAACATGCAACATACGATCATCACAGACTTCACTCTTTATAATAGAGAATTAAGGAATTTTATTGAAAATCCATATGCTGTAATAACATACACCTTGTTGACGCGGCCTCTTGATCACAAGATCGTTATAAATAGGGTGCAAAGAGTCCGTACTGTCACATATCTACGATCGAATATCAGAATGGTACAGGCATTGCAATACCTTCCTCAGTCACCCCTGATGAAATTGATTTTAAGTCCGAAAATCGAAGACTATCAGTTACCACCGTTAAATAAGCAGTATACATCTTGTTCGCTGATCACGAAGGATAATTTAAATTCGAAACAATTGGAGGCTGTATTTAGAGTGACGGACGCTGTGCTAAAGAATGAGACCAAACTGTGCTTTATTCAGGGTCCGCCGGGGACAGGCAAGTCCAAAGTTATCGTTAATCTAGTGACTCAAATATTACATGATGAGACAAAAGAGCAAAACAAGAAACCCGTGAGAATCCTCCTTTGTGCGCCGTCCAACGCCGCTATCGACGAAGTCGTGTTGAGACTTCTAGACATCAGGTCTACTCCGCATGTGAAACAGAAACTTCTTGACATGGTACGCATCGGTCGATTGGAATCTATGCATCCTAGGGTTAAAACCATTTCCGTGCCGGAACTAACAAAACGACATCTTCTGAGAAAGACCAGCAATCGTATTAACTCGCTTTCAAGTAAACTTGATAGCACTGATAGAACGGACGAGGCAAAGAGGAATTTACTCATGAATCAAATATGTGAAGAGTCCGTAAGGTGCCAACGGCTGAAAGCTGGTAAGCCAATAGAAGAGCTCAGTCCAAAGGATCGTGCCAAGCACCTGCATTCAGCTGAAAACAGAATTATTGTGGGTGCCAAAATAATTGCCTGTACGCTCTCGTCCTGTTATACCAATCAAATGGAATCGATTTTCGGGGGTAACAAGGAAAGTATAACCATATGCATCGTCGATGAGGCAACACAGAGCTGTGAAGCAGAAACTCTAATACCGTTAATGTTGGGGGTGAATAAGTTGGTCCTAGTGGGCGACCCAAATCAGCTACCCGCAACTATTCTGAGCCAGCAAGCGAAGAAGTTAGGGTTAGATCAATCAATATTTTCGAGGATACAGAACATCTTCGCGTCTCAACCGAACAGTCCAATTATAATGTTGCAAACGCAATATCGTATGGATTATGCGATCTCATATTGGCCGAATAAATACTTCTATGGCGGAAAATTGAAAGACGCTGCCGAGAGCAAGCCAACATTCCCATTTCACGCCTACAAAGTGCTGAATCACGAATTCACTCAGAACGACGACAGGTTTTCCAACACCATCGAAGCAAAATTCGTGGCCGATATAATTTATACCATGCTGATGTTTGTCAACTGGGAAAAGACAAGCACCGCCATTTCCCTTGGGATTCTCACGCCATACAACAATCAAAAAACTCTTGTACTAAATGAGATAAACAAAAAGTAGGTTTCATACATATACGAGGAAAAGCAATAGTTTACGTATGAAGTTATGAGGAAACCGTAAATTTTATTATTCGTGCATCTTTCAGGATATCTTCTGTGCCAAATAATAAAAGAATTAAAATTAACTTTGAAGTCAATACGGTCGACGGTTTCCAAGGTCAAGAGCGAGATGTTATAATAATGTCCTGCGTGAGAAGTAACGGCATTGGATTTTTGTCGGATAAACAGAGACTCTGTGTTGCTCTCACAAGAGCAAAGCACAGTTTGATAATATGTGGAAATTTTCGTACCTTTAAGGTAAGCAGAGGCTAATCCTAGAATTAAATTTCGAAAATGATTTTCTTTTTCTTTATTTGGCAGAAGGATAAAATGTGGAAGGCATTATTGGATGATGCAAGAGATCGTGGGGTTTTATGCTATTTCGACACCAATACGAAACCTGAAACCATTAAACAATTTATCATTAAATAAAAGACTAGTTTGTAGTTTTTTTGTACTTCATGTCGCGAGTAACTTTTTTTTACAAGTCTTGTACATTTTGTAAATACTCATACAAATTGATAAATATTGAAATACATTGTCTCTTGTAAACAATGTACCTTGAAAGTCTTAAAGAATGTTGTATTTGACATTCTTTGGAATAATAAGAATCGTAGTCCTAAAGAATTGCATTAACATTATGTTTGTGTCAAATAAAATAGAATTAAACTGCTGTTTATTTTTCTACATTTATATGGATAAAAGTTATTAATATCTTCGCTATTATAATTTCATAATTCCTAGTATAATGTTTAGTTATATTCGTAACATGTAATTAATAATATGTACATATCGCAAATTTACAAGTCACATTTTGTTACAAATATCGAACCAGTTTATTTTTATCATTTGTTATACACTTTCTGCCTTCAATACTAACTTTGTAACCATTTTTTTTCTAATCCTAATCTATCGAAGAGTTAATTTAATACAATGTAAACTATTCCACAAGTAAAATGCAGTGAGCTCGATAACAATAAGAAATAATAGAACAATTTATTCAAGTATGTTATAGAGCTCACTGATAAAATTGTTAACGCAGTATTACTAAGTTTTCCAATAGGCTCGAACAGAATATTGCAGCAAACCAACAACTGTGACCTGATTTGATTTGTGTTCTTGTGCCATGATATGATCTCTCACAACAAATAAACCGAGCAAAATCTGTCATATCATAATCGCTTATGAATGGAGTATATTATTCGCGAAGTGGCAGATTTCCGTTCAGTTACTGCAGTCAATCATCGTAATTTGTTAGCAAATGTTATTACAAACTTGTCAGCATTCTGCCGTCAAAACATGTAAGGGTCTGAGCAGAAAGATTGTCGTAACCGTTTGCGATTTCGTCGTAAGACTTAAGTCGATGTCGAAAATCAACGCACAAAAAATTGTCGTAGACTTATGTCGCATCCATTGCATCGCGAGATAACATACGACAATTCTTTGTGCGTTGGCTTCACACTGGATCCGATATCCGACGTACGACGTCCGATACTTAATATGATTGGTATTTACTTTTGGTTCCAACAAGGAACTAAATCGATTTTATCGATAAAAGAGGATTCAGAGTACGAGCCAGTATAAATCCCACATAAATCTGATATTACATTTGTCGTACGACATATTTTTTAAGTGTGTTGGTTGGTTGCAGGATAGTAAAATTCTCGAATATCCATACATTTTTTTTATTTAGCAGCCAATCAACACGCTTGAAAAATTTGTCGTACGACAAATGTAATATTAGCCTAATAAGGGATGCGGTAACATTTGTTTTAATTATCGAACGAGTGTATAATTTCCTTTCTCTGAAGAAGTGACGTCGTGAAGTTTAATAAAATACTTAATTTTTTATAACTTGCGAGCTCCTAAGTACTAAAAATTAACTGAGATATACCTACGATTTTACTAGACATTGTAAAGTTGTTAAATAAACTATTTTGTAATAATTATATGTCGTAATAATTATCTAAATTCCAAATAATTATATGTCCATATAATTATATATATCCATTATAATTATATATCCAAATAATTATATGTCGTAAGAGTTTAGCCAAAGACAATCCGTATCAGATGCTGTACATAGGTAATGCGGTACAGATCCATTGGTCATTTTACTGCTGTACAGATTCATTCATCATTTTACTGGCTAAGAAATATTTCAAGAGACATTTAAGACGATCCTTAAATATAAAAATTGACTGTTACTGATGTCATCTTTGTATATACCTTTAATATTTTTGATATACATCAAGTATATCCACAGCAATTGTATTAAAAATTAAAACCAATTATGTAAGTTATAAAACTTATTTTCGATTAATTGTGTTATTTAGTAGAACTGGTAATTTCCTTCAAAGGTTTCGATAAACCTACTTATCCATTTTCTACCTACCCGTGTTTCAACATAATAAACCTACAAATCTTTAATTAACCGCGACGCGATTTTCTAGGGGTTTGACTCGGAGTTTAACGCGCACGCGGGATTTAATAGGGGTTTCACTCTCGCACATATGTGAGAATGTATGTATATAGAAGCATAACCCACCCGAATTATGACAAATCAAAAGAAATCAAAGTATACTTCGTACAGCACCTTACTTAGGTACTCTATCAGAGTAGCCAATATTGACCACATACATATACCTCGTCGTATTTAGTCCTTCGGTGGGCCAGATTGGACCTACCTTTCGTTGCTCCCGGCCATATAATCTGGTCATTTTGACCAGAGATCAGGAAGGAAGAATACTTCTTCCATAGTCGGTTATCGTCACCGACAAATATTTCGTACGTTTCGAATATACGAGTCCCGATCGTATCGCAAAATGCACGACTACGAGAGGTTAATTAAAGAATATTAATTTAAAAAACTTTACTGTATATACGAATCAAGTTTATTTTTACTTCCGTTATTTGTTCAAAAATATTGATCATCTCTTCGTAACTTTATCTTTAAATTCGAAATTCACGTAGATATAGAAAAAAATTTACTTCGCGTTAGAGTGATTTTAATCATATTCTTCGATAAATTTAAATTTATAATATGGATAAAATTAAATAATTAATAATTAATTGAAAATTTTTCCTGAAAATCCGATCGCGAAAACCGACCGCGAAAATACAAAGATGCGTGCGACTATGCATGTATTCATGCGAGACGCATCTTGAAAGTACGTATATCACGTAGGTACATACACACATACAAAGAATAAATGATGTGAGATCCAGAAAAACGAAACACTTTTTTCACGATTTTAACCGATATAATAATTGCATAATATAATTAATTAATAACCGCAAATAATATATAAAAATAAGTTAAAATTTCAGTGTGATGGACAAAACATATTAGAATCTCGCGTCATATTATTCTACATACTATTCTACTTTATACAATACATCAATTCGTTAATGAAAATGGATAGGCTACAAAATATTAGCTCGGCGAATATATCATTAATATTCGCCATATTTCGTTTAAGTTCTGTGATGTGATTCAACGATTTTCAACATGGAAAAGTGAGCTCGACATACCCTGATTTGTAGAGCTCTATGAAATTAAACGAATGTGAAAGAAATTTTAAGTTGAACTCGTCGAACTTTAGAGGCCCCGCTGTAGGAAAGAATGAATCCCAGATCTTCTGGATTGCCTCCGATAGCGGTCATTTCGGCAGGGAGTTAACGACGATCGTTTTTCAAATCATTAAATCTTGTATATTTTCATTTTTATTGAAATAAAAATTATTCTTCCATTATTAGTGTTAATGGAAGAATATTTATGGAGAAAGATATATATAAAATTTTCTCTTCTTTTTTTTATTAATTTCGCGAATCGACGTCGCGCCCTCGTGCCGAAACCGTTGCTTTCGGGGATCCGTGACAAAGAAAACCAGGGATTAACTCTGGTTCTGCAACGGCGTAGCTAACTTTCCACATTGAAAATTGTTTATACTCCTCTCCGGAGTTTCAATATGTTAAATAGAAAATTTACTTGCCGTTAGCATTTGTAACCTATCTATAATACTTGTAATTTGTATATCCATGATGAGGCATCGAATATACAAGATAAACTACGATCTACAATCTACGATCTACGAAATGCACTGTAAAAAAAGTATGTAAAATTACATACATAATAAGTGTAGCGATTACTCTATTAATAACGGAAATATATAAATGTATATACTTTTACCAAAAAAATGTTTTACTCTTTGTTGTGTAAATACTTGTTTATACATGATGAAAAATTACCAAAAAATGTCAAATTTACACAATCAAAAGCAAGCAATTTACTTATTATATAAAGTAATAATTTTATTTACAAGAAGTAAATTTACTGACGTATGTAAATATACACCTTTAATAGATGGTCCCAACATTACTCACTATAATATTTGTAATTTTACATGTAATTTTTTTTACAGTGTGTATATTCGTTGCCGTAATAAAAAAGTTCTTTACTCACCGACCCGATGCGCAGCAGCGGAGTTTAACTTCGTTGATTCTGTAACACAAAATTATAAAATTCACATTAAAACAGAGTATTCAAGAAAACCAATCTTAAAGAAAATAATTTTTAAATGATTGAAAATCAATAAACGGAAGATTAATTTTAAAATAAAAGAAAAAGAAATAAAAAATATTTACCCTAAAGTTGCTCCGCCGGTGCCTGATGCCTTCCCCAGGCCTCCTCCTCCACTCAGGTTGTCTTCTTGCACACTCGCGAAAACACAAAGATCGTTCGCGCGATTTTACACTTTGAAAGTCTTTAGTCCAATTACACAAACGGCACTCCCGAACGCGACGCGACACGACGAATCACCGCGCGCGGTTGCGATTCGTTTAAACTGACGAAATAATAGCGAAATTATTCGTCGGTCCTCGAAAGTTCGTGCTGAAATGAACAAAATCAATTAATAATGTGCTCTCTAAAAGTTAATCGGTGGATTATCACTGAAAACAGTGAATCGATTCGTTATTTTCAGTAATAATCCACCGATTAACTTTCAGAGAGTGTTAGGCCTGGTTTATCATTTTCTGGTTAACTGTTAAGGGGATGCTAAA